TACATTTCTTTGGCTCATTAAATACATACTGAGTGCAAAGACATTTGGCTGGATGCTCACGCCACTAGAAGAAGTCTCATCTAAAAGAAACCTGACAATTAAGACAAAATCCACAGCAGCACATCACAGCAGTTCATGCCATGTTCCTCTACCAGCAGAATAACAAAGTCTGAGCAATGTAATTACATTTGGTAATATCCAAAAGTCTTACAGTACGTGTTGGGCGTTTTGATTTTAAACTACCATGTTCTTTCCAGAAGTATTGCACTCATACAACTTTTTTTTTTTTTTTTTTTTAAGTATCAAATTACAGCTGCAGGAATAAGCAGCTTACTCTTACTTACACACTAAATGAACAGAGGTCTAAACGCTTAATAGTGGCTAACAGCTCGAGAAGCTAAATTGAGAAGCATTGGAGCACCTGCCACCACAAATGTAAATGGAACGTGGGAATCGCACCCGTCCACTTTCCCTTTATCTGCCACACGTGTAATTATTAGCCTGCACACAGATTAAGGCAAAAGTAATCATATTGCTAAGCCCACTTGAATTTGCCCTGACAGACTTCTCCTAGTTCACTAGCATGGTGGATGGACATTCACCCCAAACCTGCATTTGATGCATTATTTCAGATTCTTTCATTTAAAACTATTTTTTTTTCCCTCCAGAGGAATCTCAAACAGGCTATTTTATTCCTGCCACAAGACTGCAGCCTTTAATTATTAGCACTTGTTGCTGCTGAAACAGTAACCCCCAGCATCAAAATGAACAGTCTCCACCGTGTTGGCAAGCCTTGGTACAGGCATGGTCTCTGCCCCAAGTCACTTACAATTCAGGTGGAAAAAAACAAAATAGAAAAAGAACCCAAAACAAAGAAAGGCAACACACCACATGACTATAAAGAAAAACAGGTCTGGATTAACAACAGAAGCAGTAAAAAGTTACATGAGTTGAATTCAGTGCATAAGGCAGTGATTCAGAAGATTCCGAGATGCCTGAACATCTTGGGGACACGCTGGCCACCCCCGGCAGGCCTGCAGCCCAGCCAGCCTGGGGGCTCCCTCATCCATCACTCCAGCGGCTGCAGCGAGAGCCACGGGTGGACTACTTTCTGCCAGGTGGTGCTTTCACACACAAAATGCTTCCTTAGCTTCTTCACAGGGCACATTTTACAGAAGGGACTTTGTTAGGGGCCAGAGAAGCTTTCGGCACGCTTGTCCCAGAGAGGGTAGGTGAGGACCAGGGCTGGGAAGAACAACATGCCCCCTCTGTCAGCAGGTCTTGCGAGAGGTGGAAAAATCCTTGTGGGGTGCAATTAGCAAGCAAGAATCCACTGCAGAATAATCCTTT